TCATCCCACCTTTTCATCCCACCTTTTCATCCCACCTTCATCCCACCTTCATCCCATCTTCATCCCATCTTCATCCCACCTTTTCATCCCACCTTCATCCCATCTTCATCCCACCTTTTCATCCCACCTTTTCATCCCACCTTCATCCCACCTTTTCATCCCACCTTCATCCCACCTTCATCCTACATTCCCCCAGCTCCATCCCACCCCATCCCAAGTTTCCTCCCCGTTTTCTCTCCCCAGTGAGCGCCAGCAACACCAAGGAGGTGGTCGGGGTCCTGGGCGGGTCCGTGACCTTCCACAGCCACAACAGAGACAAGAAAGCAGCATTCTGGATTTTTGAGAATGATCCCATCGTGACTGTGCCATTTGGGAATTCTTCCCCGCCCATATTTTCAGACGAAAAGTTCAAAACCCATTTTGCCGTCTCCGAGAACGGCCGCGCGCTCAGCATCTCCCCGCTGAGGATGGAGGATGCCGGGATCTACTCCGTGAAAATCAATGGGAAAATCTCCACCTTCATCCTCCAGGTGTTCAGTAGGTGCTTCTCGTGCTCTTTTGGGGTTTCCACGCTAAAAGAGAGGTTTGTGACACCCCTGTGCCCCCAGGGGAGCTGGCAGAGCCCACGGTGACCTGCGAGGCCCAGAACTGCTCGGGTGGGATCTGCAGCTTCTCCCTGCGCTGCTCCGCGCGCGGCGCCGGCTTCGGGAACGTCTCCTACACCTGGAGGGTGCGGGATCGGCTGCGGGCCGAGGGCTCCGTGCTGCCGTGGGGGAACGGATCAGCCCGGGACGAGCCGGAGGCGCTGACGTGCCTGGCACGGAACGCCGTCAGCAGCAGGAACGTCACCGTCACCACCCCCGGCGTGCTCTGCAACGGTGAGAGCCGGGAAAGGAGGGACGGGCCGATCCCGATTCCCTGAGAAACACGGGAATGTTGGGGTTGGGACGGGCCGATCCCGATTCCCTGAGAAACACGGGAATGTTGGGGTTGGGACGGGC